ATGAACAAAATAGGTACCATCAATATGGTAAAATTTACACTTAATTAATATATTTAAGTAAGTTTTTTGTAGGAGTAAGTTAAATATTATAAGTCTAAATTAATTACTTCGACTCCTGATCTCTAGGTATCTTTGTTACNAATATTTCATTGAATGAGAAAATCAATAATGAAAAATTATACCGCAATATTAGTTTATATTACTACAAATAAATTTACAAACTGTATAGTGAAATATTCGATAGAAGAACATTTTCTACGGAAATTATACCATAATGAGCTTTTAAGTTATAAAATCATTAGACAACTTTTATCAAAATCGAAAAGATAAAAAGTCAAAAAATGAAGAATAATGTGAAGTCGTCAAAAGATAAATGGTGATTCCTCAATCTGCATAAAAATGTTTGATACAAGTACATTAATAATAAACACTAATTCGTCAAGATATATTTAATTGGCTTAGAAAAAGCAATGAAATAAGAGTCATAGACAATTCACGTCTGATTATTGTTTAACGCATCATATAAAGATAATATCATAAGAATTTGACTTTTATCAAGTTGTAATGCACACTTTATAAAATTTTTTTTTTGCTTTTCTTTATATCTTCCAATTTAGAAATCCAATTGTTCTATGGTTTATGCATGATAAATGATCTTTTTCACAGTTAACATTTTGAAAAGTGTAAATGTTATACTTTACGAACGAGTGTTTGCAATATTATATGTATCTAATGTGATTGTTACATAAGTTAATATAGGACTCATAATAAAGTTTTAAATGTATTAGAAGTTTGCCAGCAAACCACCTATTCCGAAATACTTTAACAGGTTGTATTATTTTTTTCTCAGATTTTTTCACATTTATCAGTTAAGGGCTTTTGGAGATAACCCCCACTACCTTCGTATAAAATTATAATCCCGTACATTCTCTTACAGTTGTAATGATCCAAAGTAGACTTAACAAAATTTTCATACGAATTGGAAAGACAGTCTTTCCTCTTTATACCACCGTTTTTTTTTTTTTTTATTTGCAAAAAAGTGAATGAACAAAAAAAATCGTTTGACCGTACCGACAACACGCCGTCCCTTTTATCCTGGACACCTAAACTATAAATCGAGAAACTCTCTTCCGTTAAAAAAAAAAAAAAAAAAAAAAACGAAACAAAGAAGCTGTGCTCAGGGCGACAAAGGACGTACAGTGGAGACAGTCAAATTTAGATGAATATCTCAAGAGCAAAGGTCCAAGGATCCCGTTACGCAACCATACCACGCGCTACCCTATAGCCAGAACATTTTTTTTCCCTCCACATCTCTCATCCTCGTACCTCCCGCATTTACGACGACCCAAAAATGTTCGTTGCATTTTTCCAAAGTACAAGTCGTCCCGGCTCTGCTATATGTACGAGAAACGAACAGCGTGAAAAAAGATGGATGTCTGACGGGGCGAGTCGCGACAAGGTCACCCAACGACAAAGAGACTTTCTCCGCCGGTCCGCCTTCTTACCTTTCTTTCTTTATTTCTTTTTACCCTCACTGAAATGCTCACACAGCTACACTGGGGCTACAGCGTAACGTTACATTTTTCCAACAAGCAATAGCGCATTTATAGAAGCACCGATGAAATCCGCATCTCTACGCGCTACCTCTGCTACACCGAAGATGCAAAGCCGAGGAAGAACATCGATTACAAGCTCCCATCCATCAGATCGCAGATGTACAATTACCAGCTCCTCGTCCCAAACACTCGGCAATCCGACTCACCTTCCGTATACTTGCACCCACAGATCCTTACAACTAATCTCCCCGCACACGCGCATCCCGTGCCGGTATAGGTGGAAGCGCGAGATTATTTTTCTACCCACACGCGCACGCGACTCCTCTCCCGCGCTATATATATATATATATATACGTACGTATACGTGTATAGACACGGCGACTTATCTCTCGGCGGGAAGTGGGCTCGCGGGGTCGTCAAGCGATCGCGTTCTCCCTCGCATTCTCGGAATATTATCCGATCGCGACTCGTCGTCCGGCAACGCGTATGTACCTGCAAGTGGATAAAAAAAAAGTGTTAAAAATCGGCTCAGCAGAGAGAGAGAGACCAAGATGACGATGAAAAATAATAAAAAGAAAAGACGTAAGTATATAGGTACAAGCAGCCTCTATGTGTTGTGTGCAAGAAGGGCGTTTGGAAACAAATTGCACGATCGTCGTCCACATCGGCATGCGGTCCGCGCATGAGCTCATGCGGGAGCCGCGCGCGTACAGTATCATGTATACTTATGTACGCGGTGCGTGTATATTATGTACATATATACACGTATATATTTATATAGGGAGCCGCAAGGAGTTTAAGGAGGAGGCGTGCGTGTGTGGACGTCAGTACTTTGTAATTGGGTGAATCGCATAAATCGCCCGACTACGCGTGTGTCTTGTACACGTGGGGTTTTGTACGGTGGCAGCAGCAACTATCATGTGTACGTGTATATACGTGGGTATAGCGCGGCATCTCATTGCCGGGCCCGATAAATTACGCGAGATTGACGCGACACGATATATGCGCGAACGGGCCCGTATGAGACTTTGCGTTCTGTATATGCCGGCCTGCGATTTCTGTACAGCTTATTTTTGTACGTCGCGTATATGTATGAGCGCGCGAGTGTGGGTAAGAAATGCGCGCCAAAGATGTTGCGAGATAAGGCAAAGAAAGAGGAAAACGCCGGCCGAGCTCTACTCTGGGCTGTAAAAGCTAATAGTGGAGGTGTAGCGTTGCTTCAATGGACCTCATGTGTAAAAGGGTGTTGATGCGCTGCAGGATCCAATAAGGTTTAGAGCGATCGTGTATACGCAGTTGTTTGGCATGTTGTTGCTTCAAATAGTACACGGATTAGTTGGCATGATGCGTTGATATGCCATTCTGGGTGCAGTTATACCTATACTCTCTTAAAAAAAAAACTGTGTATAGTATAGAGCACTAAAATAGATGCGCGTAGTAATAGAAATTCAACAATTTTACTTGCTCTTAAAAAATAAAAGAAAGTTTCTGAGTAAAAACATTTACACGTTTACATTTTACTTTATAAGATATTTTTTAGGAGAATCTTTTTTTGGAAAATCCATATTATAAAAATAATTTTTTATGACAGGTGACCAATCGTCCATTTGTTAAAGCAAAATTTTAATAATTAAAACATAAGAAGTTGGAAAACAGTGAGATACGTAGCCTGATGAGACATAGAATTTTTTTTATGAAATATTGTAATTACCAAGAAAATACACTTTTTTCAGCATTTTGTGTTGCTATTACTATCGTTTTTTTTTTCTAATTAATCAACAACCAACACTCGTTACAAAAGTTTATACGTTATATGTATTTAAATGACAAGTTTCTGTGTACATATCAATTAGTTCGTATGGATAACTCATTATTGTGAATACTAACAGTTGAAAATAAAATTATTCATCGACATAGACAATAATATTAGATCAAACATGCTGCATTCAATAGCTACGTGTCCAAAAACCATGAAATTTTAATCATGTACACTGTATGTGCGTACATATTCTCATAATACATAGTAATGTATGATATTAGTCATATCTCGGGACACTATTTAAAATTTTGTATATCACGTTTTTTTTACCTTTTCATTGGATTTTAATTACTAGAGGAAATAATCTGTAAGACGTTGACTTCGATAAAATACTTGAAAAATAAGTTTCTTAAACGTTATTGTATCTCTGACGTGTTTAAGTAATTATTTTTTCATTAATAGTTATTTTTGCAAACGTCTCGTACTTTAAATTGCTTCAAGTATTGTCGAATATTTTTCATAGTAAGCAAAAGCATTGGTGTATTAGGTTATTATTCGTGTAATTTGTGTAATGTATAATTTTTATGAATTTCAATCACGTACTGCTATTGTGATCAATCAAATTGTTACAGTTGAGGACGTTGGAGCTTGTACCCATGTAATATGCGTTTCATCATAAATAAATCAGACTTTTTCAGTAAACGGTTGCAGGTATTGGTGTTTTTTAATATAATGTGAAAATTCTCTCGTCTTTACTTAGTAACAATTATTTTAAACATTATACTTGCAAAAACATTAATCACAAAGTCAAAGTAAACAAAAATAGGAACTAAGTATCTCGGTTCCTTTGAAATTAGTGCCGTATTTATTTCACAAGAGTACATCTGAAATTATAGCTTTTATCAGTAGCCTATTTGCATCGTTGCCTACAAGGTATACATTTAGTTATACTGTACATGATGCGATGTTTAGAAAATCATAAATATGGCAACGATTTTATAGTCACATTAAGTATTTAGATTCCTTTTTTCATTACCTTTTATCCAGTTACAAATTATTAGTGCTATACGTTTTTACACAATACAATAAGTATTTTTTTTTTTTCACCCAAACGTACCAAACAGATTTATTTGCACTTCTGTTTTTTCGAGAGAGCCATTTTTTATTCATATCTAATTTAATTGCTTCAGACTGTTATTTTTTAAATTACAAATCTATTGGGCTAATTTTTATATAATACATAAGCATACATACATATGCTACTGCCGTATCTGAGTATCTATACAATACATATATTCGTACTATATGACTCTGTTCTGTTATGAATTTTATAAACATCAAGTTCATAAGTTTTATCAGTTCATGTGCCCCTCACGAGGATACGTGTGAAAAAATAATCATTCACTGGATTTTACTGAATTCGTCTCGCAATGAAGTACTGACAAATGTTGTAATATTATATCTTAGAGTAATCGAGAGAGACAAATAAAAGGAAACAATTCATAAGGAGTTTGATATGCGTATCCTGATGTTACTTACACAATAAAATTCGTGACAAAAAATAGTACATAATTGCTTAACAGCAATGCAGGGTGGCGTAATTACAATAACAGTAGTGAGTTTTGGTTACATCCACGTTAAACATACAGACTCTTTCACTTCTGAAACTTTTTATATTTTCACGTTCAATCATTGAGTAAAGTGCATGCAATGGATTTTCGGATAAGACTATCAACAGGAGCTGATACAACGCGGTAGTTAATTTCACTAAAATTCACAGTTCTCAAAGAAAATTTCTGATATCTATTGGTCATTACTAACAAGTAATCTCTTTTATGCTTCATTCTTTTAACTTTCATTCCACTCACGAATCGAAAAATTACTTCCTCTGTTGGTATAATTCCCTGGGATCAACGTGCATTTATTGAAGAACACTTTCTATAATATTTTATTATCATATCAATTTTAATTGATTTCTTTAATACTTACAAGATTTTCTGGTTTTAAAGAATTTCGTACTCTGTAGCAACCAATGTCAGTTTTATTGGCAAGACCATAAAACATCACACCATGGTGTGAACTAAAAGCCATGGCTGAACCTTGGCTTGGCAAAATATCGGTGCCCCTTAGATAATTCACTGTACCATTTTTGAAACTTTTTTCCAATTCTCTCGTATCAGCAGCGTAAATGGACAAGGAAGAAAAGGATCGAAAAAATAAAGTGCGTTTTCCGTCTTTTCTCGGTGACAGTGCCATTCCTATTACACCGAGCGATACCCAAAAATCAAATCCACCTAAGGAGACTCGTGAGTGTTTTGTATCGGGAGCATATACATCACCTTCCAATCGGACTGTTTTACCATTTTTATAGATCACTAATCCGTGCCCCAAAGCGTCAGCCATATACACCTGATAAAAATATATTTTTTTGTAAAATAAAATCAGACTATTTGTTGTAGCAATTCGCATTCGAGTTATGATATTTTATTCCATTACCGTAGTGCTGTTACATCGACGGTTCGTTTTGACGATTGGCGTCACGAATAAACTAGCTCCATTTTTACCTTTGGCCACGCGGTCATCGAGAACATGTCTCACCACTTCTTGGTCAGATGTAAGATTGAAAGCTAACAGTTTGGCTGGACACTTGTATTTGTTGCCAATCCATCCATTGTCCAGCAACCACAATCTGTCGCAGTTGTCAATCTGTTGATTAACAAAATTATTAGTTGAAACATACCGCGGCCATTAATAAATATGAACTTACAAAAATTCTGTACACGCTAACTATGCCTTGACAAATGTCACTTTTTTCGTAGTAATCCCAATTAGGGTAAGGACTGAGAAGAGGCCCACCTTTACCAACTTCCGAAGACACGGTGGCCAAAGTTACTGGAGCACCTTCCCTCATTGAAGCTGTTACAAATGTTCTTCCATCTACCACGTTTAAAAATGAATTAATTGATCCACTATCAAGTAATTTTCCAAAATAAATGTAGTGATATACTAATTATAAGCTATATGAATAAAACTTACCTGGTGCACGGTCAACGTCAATAAGAACAATTTTAGTGTGATCGTACAAGTCCGCTCCAATATACGCATCTTTCTGTCCTTCAGATAACCAGTTATAATCAATATACTTCCACTCAAATTCAGTTTGAAACACTTTACTAGATGCAATACTCGCCATACCCACAATAATAAAATTACTCAAAAGTGCGTGCATATTATGTGCTACCTCCATTGACTGTTCAGAATTTCTGTCTGATCACTGCAGTTAATTGTTTCATTTTTTTTTCTTTTTTTTTCTTTTTAGCGTACATACCCTGGCTTTCGACATTACACACCATCAGCAACGCGCTCTCAATAACACACTTTTCGGCTGTTCGTGTTATTGGCTCAATGGAATTCGAGCATTGGCAAATTTATATTAATTGGGTCAATCAAAGTATCTGGAACGCCAAAACGGCCACGAATTCGTTGCGCCACAATTTTTTTTTTAAACGTTTCACATAATCATTCCCATTGGTGTTTATAGGCGTATCGAAAAATTTGTCATTTTTTTTCAATCAAAAAAAAAAAAATAAAAATATAAATTCGCTCTAGCATTGATTCTCGTACTGACAAACCCTTGCTTAGCTTCGATAATCAAGCGAAAACAAAAATCTCAATCATCCAGCTGCACGTAAAATAAAAAATTAACGATCCCGTGCTGTGATTAATCAAATTTTTTTTTTCTTTTTTTTAGAAAAATGATTTAAAATAAAAAAAAAAACCTTCACCGTGACAATGCAGAGCATTGCCGTGACCAGGATTCGAACCTGGGTTACTACGGCCACAACGTAGGGTCCTAACCACTAGACGATCACGGCTATCGAAGGTCGGTGGCGGAGGTGCTCGATTAGCTCCATATGAGGCGGGCGCCCGTTGACCCGCTGAACCAACGTTAAACGTTGCGCACGGACTATAAGCGTGCACAATTTTTACATTGTTTTGCAAAGTCGTCGAGATTAAACAGTTAATTCGATCGAAA